AAAAAAAGGGGGTAGAGATTTCAAAGATGTTATGCATCTTCAAGTTTAAAATGAAGAAATGAGCTACGGTTGTATGTTCTTAATCATCAATATTATTACTTGCTACATTTGGGGGCAACAATTGGAAATAGCCTCAAATCAACCCCCATATATAACGATCACCTCAGACTACATGAAACAAACTTGTGAGAGCAAGTGGCGCATCAATAGGACACACATTTACATATTTAGACCAAAAAATGTACTAATCCGAACCTCGTATCTTCCACTCCCCTCACACACTTAAAAGTTCAACAAAAGCACATTGAATTTAGAATTACAAAGCCTATTTGAACTCAGTTTCCATTGTCAATCACAAGCCAATATTGGCAAATTGTGGACCAATAGTTAGAATTGTAATGCTTATTGGAAAGTATACATATGAATGTTGTTGTTCTATTTACAAAATAGTATTGATAGTCATTTAATTTGTTCATGTTACCTTTACTTTCCATGAATATTTTTCATTTTTTTTTTCCAATTTTACAATAAAGTGATGTGCAAATATTTTCATAAAAAACTTACCTGACATTATTTCTCTTTTTGTTTGGTACAGGTGGATGAACTCATGCACGAAGCTAAATTGTACAGGATTACTTGGCACTATAGGCTTGTTTTTTATGATACTAGTAGATGTTTTTCTGTTTATAATGGAATCAGTGAGTGTCATAAATTCATAATAAAAAAATTATAGTAGCATGCCTAAGACTCTAACCTGGTAGGTGTGTATACTGCTTAAGCCAAATTGCATGAAGTTTCCTATATTTGACAAAATTCTTCCAAGGTTATTATGAAGACTTATCATAAAAAAAGGGGGTAGAGATTTCAAAGTTGTTATGCATCTTCAAGTTTAAAATGAAGAAATGAGCTATGGTTGTATGTTCTTAATCATCAATATTATTACTTGCTACATTTGGGGGCAACAATTGGAAATAGCCTCAAATCAACCCCCATATATAATGATCACCTCGGCCTACATGAAACAAACTTGTGAGAACAAGTGGCGCATCAATAGGACACACAGTTACATATTTAGACCAAAAAATGTACTAATCCGAACCTCGTATCTTCCACTCCCCTCACACACTTACCCTCTTCCAAGTAAAAGTTCAACAAAAGCACTTTGAATTTAGAATTACAAAGCCTATTTGAACTCAGTTTCCATTGTCAAGCACAGGCCAATATTGGCAAATTGTGGACCAATAGTTAGAATTGTAATGCTTATTGGAAAGTATACATATGAATGTTGTTGTTCTATTTACAAAATGGTATTGATAGTCATTTAATTTGTTCATGTTACCTTTACTTTCCATGAACATTTTTCATTTTGTTTTCCAATTTTACAATAAAGTGATGTGCAAATATTTTCATAAAAAATTTACCTGACATTATTTTTCTTTTTGTTTGGTACAGGTGGATGAACTCATGCACGAAGCTAAATTGTACAGGATTACTTGGCACTATAAACATTTTTTAAAGGATTATATATTTTTGGATAAATGTGTATGGAAAAGATTTGGGTAGAATAGTTGTTACATTTTTGGATTTTGGATGGACTAGTAGTTATATTTTTGGATGGATGTTTATGGAAAATATTTGGGTACACTACTAGTTATATTTTTTGAAAGATGCGCATAGATAAAAATGTAAAACATAATAACTAGTACTTGTTATGTCTTGTTATGTTTTAAATTTTTATGCTACATGGATGTGAATTGGATGATTATATAGATTGTAAGCGGATTTTTAATTGGAAATGAATATGTAGTTTGGAATTACTTGTGGATGAAAATTTATAATAGTTGCTGACTTTCATTAAACAGGTTCAGGATTGGATGATTTATATATTTTGATGAATATTCATTGTCTAAAATATCACTTGGTCAAATTTTTCAAAATTTTATGTCACACAATTGTCAATGTGTTATTTTTTAACTAATTTTTAATAGAAATTAACTTTAAAAATAGACGGGAAAAATTTTAAAACATAAAAGGTCAAAATAAGAAAAATTAAATTTTAAAAGTTAAAGTGAGGAAGTGGCCAAATATTGAGGGGCAAAGGCCTCTTTTGGGAACATGAAAAAAGTCAATTTATTGATTTACTAGCTTATTTGAGTCACATTACCTCTTTATTTTTTTACATACTTTTTCAAAAAAATATATATAAAAAATCAATAAATTAATTTTTTTCTTACTTCTCAAAACGAGTCAAAGTATAGGGGTGTAAAAATGGCCTGAGACCCGTGGGCGGCCTGAAGCCCAAGGTGGGCCCGGCCTGTTTTGGCTCGGTTAAGCCCAATCCGAGCCCAACCCAGTACCTTGGGCCTGGGCCTGGGCCTGGGCCTTCCATTTGGGGGCCCGGCCCGTCTCAAGAAATTTTGGGCACTGCAGGCAGCCCGGCCAGGCTCAACCATCAAACCCTCTCTCCATCAATGATCAAATTTCAAAATAAAAAAATAAAAAATAACTTACAATAGTTAAATAATTAAAAAAATAAAAAATAAAATAAATAAAGGCCCGAGCCTAATCCAGTATCTTGGGCTTGGGCCTTCTATTTGGGGCCCGGCCCGGCCCACCCATCCGGCCCTCTCTCTACCAATGGTCAAATTCTAAAAAATAAAAATAAAAAACAACTTGCCATGGTTAAATAATTAAAAAAAAAATAAAAAATAAAAAAGATTGATCTTATAGAAATAAAAAAATTAAAATAATTAAATACAAATTAATCTTGTAAAAATAAAAATTTATATAATTAAATAAATAACGTTAATAAATTAAAAATAAAACAAAAATTAATAATGATTTATTAAATTAAAATCAAATTAATAATTGTTTGATGGAAAAGAATGATGTATCACGCCAATGCGCCACTACGCCCTGCCACACTGTGGCTGGCAGTGGCAGGGCACAGTCTGTGTGTGGCTAGCCTTCATTTTTTATTTTTTTAAGTTTCTTACTTCATTGTTTGATGGGAAAGTGTACCTAATGTGAAAGGAAAAAAGAAATTATATATATATATATATATATATTTACTAAGTTGAAAGGTAATATTGGGCCCGTGGGGGCTCACCACGAGTCCCATTTTGATAATCCGAACCGTTCAATGTGTAGAACTCTTCTATTACTATATACCTGTAAAAAATCACGTTAATCGGATATCGCTAACTACATGATCAAATCAGTTTGGTATAAAAATGCATGGTGTTATAGTTAATGGTTGACAAAAAAAAAACTAATCCAATCAGATAGTTTTTAATATCCGATCAACGTGATTTTCTAAGACATATAATACTCGACGATTTGTACACATTGAACGGTTCCGATTAGCAAAACGGGACCCGTGATGGCTCTCACTGGCCAAAGAGCACCGTCCAAATGGTAGCCCGAAAAGGAGGCAACCATTTCTTAAAACTTTGCTGCTAGTGCCATGCCACCGTACAGCCCCCTACCTACTATTATAGTACCAGCCTAGCCTCAACTTTGAGTCGTTGCATTGCAAATTTGCATCTCCTACAACTCAAACGGATATGTATAAAACGGTTATAATTCAAACGATTAGAATTTAAATTACTATAAATATATTTCACTTTTCAAAATAAATTTCACAACAAATCATTCTCTCTCTCTCTTAAACTCTCTCAATCTCTCTCAACTCTCAATTAATTTTGAAATGCTATCCCTAAGTGGCTATTGCAATTGTGCAACAAGAAATTTTTAGCAGAAGAAGAAAATTTCTATATCGCATTCGCCAATCGGTAACATTAATTAGTTTAATTAAATTTGTTAACTACTTATTTTTTTTAATTAATTATTTATGCACATATATTAATTATTATTTTTTACTGATTGAATTTACACATTATTTAAATTAATTGTTAATTCTTATATATTGTTTTACTTGCATTACTATGGATCCTAATATGCCTAATGTTTATGTCAATATTGATATATATACTACACCACGTGAATCTGTTGATTCTCCTTCTAATATCTCTCTTCCAACAGTTGGATCATCATCTAGGAGCAGAAGTAGTAGTGTTTGGGAACATTTTGAAAAAATATCTATAAATAATCCTGATGGCACAATTATATTTAAAGCAAAATGTAAATATTGTGCACGTCTACTTAGTGTTGCATCTGCAGGGGGTACTAGTCATTTAAAAAGACATTCTAACAAACATTTACAAAGTAAACAACCTAATATTCGAAGTCAAATGCAATTAGGGGCTTCATCAATTGGTAATTTGCAAACATTTTCATATGATCCTATACGTGCATAAAATTCTATAGTTGATTATATTATTAAAAAAGAACAACCTTTTAGTACTAGTGAATGTCCTGATTTTACCGAAATAATTCATGAAAGTTTTTGTCACGCTCCAAACTTGCCCCTAAAAGTTTCGGGCATGACGTATTCAGAAACGGACACTTAACCTGATATATGTAATATATGGGGTCTGGACGGAAGCATTAATAAAATTAAATAATATAAAACATCATCCATTGAGCTACCATTACTATGCCAGGACCGCAAACATTACATTAGGTAGATAATACACAGGAAGCATACACCCAAGCTTTAGTTACAGTCATTCACATTCATACAAAAGTACTAAAGAAGAAAGGGGTTATTTACATTCAACCATAGGCAGACAATCAAAGCATAAACCGAAAACTTAGTTAAAGTTTTACAAAATGCACGGGTTCCATCTTAAGTGCCTGGACACACTGAGGTTGACAAGAGATAGACAAGTCTCAAGGGTTAGGACTAGGGGTGCAACTTGGGCGGGTTCGGTCGGGTTGGGAGGTTATCCAAGCCCAACCCAAGTTGTGCTGAGACCTGTCCAAGCCCGCCCAAGCCTGAATTGTAACCCGAGATTGTCTGCCCAAGCCCGACCCGAGTTAAACCCGAATTGCCCGAATTGGCCGAATTGTAAATGAATTTCAATTTTTTTTTTTTTTTTTGCAGCTACATTATTAAATTATTAAAATTTGAATTTATTTTAAATTTTTTTAATAGAAAATCATTAATACCATCAAAATAAATAATTTATATAATGTAAGAGAGGTGCCACAATAGTAATCCTTACAATTATGAATGAAAATAAAAAGAAAAAAAAGTAAGATTTTATGTTATTTGTATATATAATATATATTCAATATGATTTAATAATATAAATTACTTTAATATCATATAATGACTAATAATTTATATGTATATTTAATATTTTTATATATCTATATATGTATAATTCGGGCTTCGGGTTGCTCAGGTTGTTCGACGTCTTTGCCCAAGCCCGTCCAAATTTAATTCGGGCTTCTAAATTTTTGCCCAAGCCCGTACCGAATTTGAAAATATTTTGTCCAAGCCCTAAAAAATTTCGGGCTGGGCTCGAGTTGCTCGGGTTGAGCCCGCCCAAGTTGCACCGCTAGTTAGGACTGGCTTTCCAGTTGGTTACCTACAGAAACAGACAAAATACAGAGTGAGTAAAACTCAATGAATAATAGCACATAAGTAATGTAATGGTTAACTTAAATAACAAAGCATATAACTGTGCAGGCATATGATTAATTACATTTTGTAGTCATTTCTAGAACGGCCATGGGCCCAATTTCCTTAACAGAGTGGCTTTAAGCCCAGTAATACACAGAACGACCATCGGCCCAGAAATAACAAAACGGCCTATCGGCCCAGAAATAACATAATGGCCTAGCGGCCCAGAGATAACAGAACGACCTATCAGCCCAGAAATAACAGAACGGCTTATCGGCCCAGAAATAACAGAACGGCCTAACGGCCCAGAAATAACTATGTATGGACTCAAGAGGTGGCTCGTATGGATTCTAGAGGTGGCTCCCACCAAAGTGTAGCACTTAGTTCCGTACAGCACTTTGTTCCATACCAGAAATCATCATAACAGATTAACTTCAGAATCATACAGAAAGTACATACATTCTTCCCATTATTCACATGAGTTACCATCGGTAATATAAGTTTAACAGAACGTTGCTGATAATTGTTAGCAAAAGGGAACTACATTCCAGAGATACGTAGATACCATAGTTTCATAATGCACATACATCCCATTTGTTTGTCATGAACCAATACCACTAACTTGCAGATAATGGAATGCCAACATTAACTATCAACAGTAAACAAAACGTATGATCCAACGATGCACTTAGATTTTCTCATGGTTCTTTGTAGGTCGACATACTTGTCTCGTAATTAGCAGAAAATTAATATTAACAATAGTCCGAAGGTAAAGATAACATTACATCAATAGGTCAGAACAGTTCATATCATAACATGAATCACGTAACAATGCTATTGATACTCAATTCCTTTCTATTAACCAACTTCACAGTGTTAATAGTTTGTATGCAATTCTTATGCAAAATCATAAGTAATTCATAGGATGGTACATTCACAATAATCATTAGCCATAGCCAGAATACAGCGTAGGTTCCGAGTCATACCAATGTTCACAAAAATCTTTCCATATCCACACTGTTTCCCAATCAACATAATATTAACATAACTACATCTGAAGCGCAGAGCGTTAATAAAAAGAATTATTAACGGTAATCAAATGTGCGATTACAGTACTATTACTCACAGCGATAGGTCTCTGATAGCGGTGGAACGATGTCCTCGTCTTGACCTACGAACACAACGCATATAACAGATTATGAGAATAAAACCAATCTCTTTTTATTCTTCACTCAATAGCTATGGTGGTTCTAGACTCATTAGTCCTCCATAGGTTATAATCCATGCCTCATAAGATAGAAGAAAACGAGAGGAGAAAGGTTCAGACGAAGAAACGGTACAAATCGGTAACCAGAAAGTGAACAGTCGTCACTAATTTGGGCATAACTATTTCTGTATTTAAAATTTTGGAGTGAGACTACCACCATTGGAAACTAGACTTCCGGGGCTTGAGTTTTGGCTCAAGAATCACTCAAAACAGAGTCCGGATGCAAAAGATATGCCTGTTCAAATTTACCCGGTCTATGCTGAAATAGGGGTGGCCGCTCGTGCGCCCACTTTGGCCGCTCGTGCGGCCCAATTCCGCTCAAGTGGAAGAACCCGGCTGCTCGAGCGCCCAAAAAAAGAATGAAAATCCCTTTTTCTTCTTCATGTCCGCTCGTGTGGTGCCCGTGGCCGCTCGTGCGGTCTGGGCAAAAACATCAGTCCGAAAATGGGTCTTTTGCTCCAACACTTGATTCTTTCCATTCTTAAACTTAGTTCTAAACATAATTCACTCAAAAACATGTACAATTGCCTAATAACATGATAAACTAAAATCAACCAAGTATAATCTCCTCTCAAATAAAACAATCTATGCCTCAAATTAAAAAAATCCAAGACTCATCTTTCTATATAATCAGACTTCCAAAATATATGCTCTCAAATCATAAGAATATATCTTACCTATGGTTGATTTTCACACCAAAACTTGTTATTCCACAAATCATTGTTAAGATTGGACCCAATTTAAACAAATTTAAGGAAAGAAAAGTTCATTTCCATGAATTCAATCCATTTCACCCAAAATCCCAAAACACTAGTTCATTTATATTTTAAACTTCCAAATTAATCTGAACCAATACCACTAACTTGCAGATAATGGAATGCCAACATTAACTATCAACAGTAAACAAAACGTATGATCCAACGATGCACTTAGATTTTCTCATGGTTCTTTGTAGGTCGACATACTTGTCTCGTAATTAGCAGAAAATTAATATTAACAATAGTCCGAAGGTAAAGATAACATTACATCAATAGGTCAGAACAGTTCATATCATAACATGAATCACGTAACAATGCTATTGATACTCAATTCCTTTCTATTAACCAACTTCACAGTGTTAATAGTTTGTATGCAATTCTTATGCAAAATCATAAGTAATTCATAGGATGGTACATTCACAATAATCATTAGCCATAGCCAGAATACAGCGTAGGTTCCGAGTCATACCAATGTTCACAAAAATCTTTCCATATCCACACTGTTTCCCAATCAACATAATATTAACATAACTACGTCTGAAGCACAGAGCGTTAATAAAAA